CAAAAAGCCAAAAACAGTTATTATCCAACCCACCTCTGTTCTAGCTTCATTTAGAGTCCAAATTCTAGATACAATTTTAAAAATCATATTTTTTTATTTATGCACAAGATTGACGTACATAAAATAAATTGCTTGTTTCTTTGTAGTATACAAAAATGCATATATTTCTGGCCATTTCTCCAACAAATATTTGCTTCACTAAATTCAATTTTTTGTCCTGCTAATATGTGTCTACATCCTGTTCATTTTACTGCCAAATCAAGCTGGGACCCATTGGGGGGCTTCTCTGAAGGTCTTACCTGGGATCACTCATGGGGTCATAGTCATAGACAGTTCCACTAGGGCCTCACTCTCACATCTGTCAGCTGGTGCTGGCTCTCTGCGGGAGCACCTCAGTTCTCCTCCACATGGCTTCTCATCCTTCAGGCTTTAGTGGGCTTATTCACCAATATAGCTATCTCAGTATTGGCTCACATTTGGCTGAGCAGGCAGAAAGGAATGGATTCCTTACTTGTGCAAGCTTCAAGCAGAGGTGGTACATTTACACAATGGAATACCACATAGCCATAGAAAAGAGGGAAATCTTACCCTTTGTGATAGCATGGACAGACCTGGAGATTATTACGTAAGCGAAATAAGTCAGTCAGAGAAAAACAAATCATCTCACTTACATGTGGGATTGAATTAATGAAATAAACTGACAAAAAATGACCAGATGCATGGACCCATGGGACAGACTGTCAGATCTCAGAGGGGAGGGGTGTGGGGAGGACTGGAGGAGATCAACTAGAGAACATACATGCTTGTATGCATAGCCCATGGACACAGAAAAAAATGTGGTGAAACAGGGATTTTAAGTCACCATAAATTTTATTAAAATTGTACTGGGAAGCAACTAAAGGATTTTAAGGAGGACCCCCCCCCCCAAGGTCTGTTTTATGTCTTTAGAATATCACCTGGGCCCTGACCAGTGTGGCTCAGTTGGTCTGGCCCATGGACACAGACAACAATGTAGTGAAGGTTGAGGGTGGGGTGGGGTAGAGGGGGGAATACGGGGGATATCTGTAATAGTGTCAAAATGTTTAAAAAGGATACTGGTGCAGTAGATACATTTCAAAAGTTTCAGGCAGTTCCCACCTAATGTTTAACAGGCATCTCAATTCTAAAATATTCATAACTGAAGTTTTGAAAATAACCCCCTTCCCCTCCCTACTGTTCTCCCAGTTTTCTCCATTGTAATAAATGGAACCACATTCCATGCAAACACTCAAGCCAAAATCTGAAGAGTGACTCTTGACTCATCCCTTCTTCCTCACTACTATCAAAAAGAGCTGCCATTTCATCTCCAGAAAGTACCTCAAATTTCTCCATCTCTCTCCAAACACACACCTGCTACCCTATGACAAACCTCTAGTCTCTCTTACAGGGCAGCGGCAAGTTTCCTGACTGTGACCCGCACCTCTGCTCTTATCTCCTTCCAAGTTATGGTCCATAAAGTAGCCCAAGTGACATTATTTTTAGAAGATTTTAATTTATTTTTAGAGAGAGAAGGGAGGGAAAAAGAGAGGGAGAGAAATATTGATGTGAGCAAGAAACATCATTTGGTTGCCTCTCCTTTATGCTCCCCAACCAGGGACCAAACCTGCAACCCAGGCATGTGCCCTGGCTGAGAATTGAACTGGTGGCCTTTCGCCCTGTGGGATGATGACCAACCAACTGAGCCACACTGGGCCCAAGTAATATTCTAAAGACATAAAACAGACCTCAAAAGGCCTCTCCTTAAAATCCTTTACTTACTTCCCAATACAATTTTAATAAAATCCAAATTTCTTATGGTGACTTAAAATCTCTGCCTGACCTTACTAATGACTAACATGGTAACCCATGCATTCTCAATAGGGGACAGTATCACCCCAAAAAGGTAAAAGTTTGTTCTTGAGAGTGGAGGAGAATAAAAAATCATCTTACTCTTTTCTTTTTTTTAAAAGATTTTATTTATTTTTATTTTTAGAGAGGGAAGAGAAAGAAAAAGAGAGAGAGAGAGAGAAACATAAATGTGTGGTTGCTGGGGGTCATGGCCTGCAACCCAGGCATGTGCCCTGACTGGGAATCAAACCTGCGACACTTTGGTTCGCAGCCTGAGCTCAATCCACTGAGCTACGCCAGCCAGGGCTAAAAATCATCTTACTCTTTTCAATGTATAAAGCACAGACATAAAGTATTTACAAGGCATGTTCAGAAAAAATCCAGCCATTGTTAATATGAGAAAGGTTTATATGGCATCAATGTAACCTAGCAGCCAAGGAGTATAGACTGCAATGCACATGGGTGAACAATGACATCTTCACTGTATTAGACGCCATTGAGTGAGCATTTGTACTGTGTGGACATCACATTCAAAATGACTGAGCAAGTACAGCAATGAATCTGCATCAAATTTTGCCTTAAGCTTGAACATTCCTCTACAGAAACTATTCAGATGATTCAGAGGCCACAGCTATGGCAACTGGTGATTGGCAGTTTCATCACAACACAGCTACTCATGCATCATGTATTGTGCAGAGTTTTTTGGTGAAACATCAAATCACCGAGGTAACTCAGCCCCACTGCAGCCCAGATCTGGCACCCTGAAACTCCTGGCTTTTCCCAAAGCTAAAATCATCTTTGAAAGGGAAGAGATTTCAAAATATTGATGAGATTCATGAAAATATGATGGGGCAGCTGATGGTGATTAGGAGAACTGTGGGAGGTCCCAAGGTGGCTGTTTTGAAGGGAATGGAGGTATCATTGCCCTATGTACAATGTTTCTTGTATCTTCTTCAATAAATATCTTGATTTTTCATATTACATGGCTGGATAGATTCTGGACAGACCTCATATAACATCTATGGAATTAAAATTTCATGGGGCAGATGATTAGGGGGAAAATGTATAAAAGGGCTCCTGAAGGGGTTGTAATAAAAAATGATTGAGAAAACACTGCTGTAATTTCATATCAGACCTCTACCCCTTGCCTACCAGACCAGTGTTATAAAATAAATCTTTGTGCATTGACAGAAATGTTCTGTAATCTGCACTTCTTAATGCAGTAACCCCTGAACACTTGAACTGTAGCTACTGAAACAGAGGAACTGAACCTTTAGTTTTCACTAGTTAAAATTTAAATTTCAATAGCCACATGGGGCTGCCACATTAGACAGCACAGCTTTAGACATAATAACTGGTCTCCTTTTGATTCAAAGACACAACTTTTTCGCACGTGGTAGGATGCTTTTCTACAATCACAAAAATTCAGAGTGGGTTAAAGAGTAAGAAAATATATTATTGTGTTATATAATATGTTCAGATGTAGAGAGATTCCAGGATTGGCTAATTCAAAGACTCAATGCCATTTGAATGCCAAATATCATGGATCCAGGTTCTTTGCATCTTCCTTCACTGTCATTCCCAGTGGATCCTTCAGGCACTGCCTTCAGGTTGTTTCCTAATGGTCACAATATGGCCGCAACAGTGCCAGGCATCACACCTAAACCTAATGTTCAGATAAAGAGAAGGCAGTTGTCTTTTGTTTCTCCTTTTAAAAGTGAGGAAAACTCCCCACATCTCATGAGCCAGAATTTTGTCATGCCTCTATGTAAACAAATCACTAGCAAGAGAAATGGGACCACTACACATAGCTCAGATCATGTAAGAGTCATTCCCCAGGGTCAGACATGTTGCTGGTTCCCAAAACACATAGCTCTAGGACTGGATACCTAAACAGATGAAGGCTCTACAGGAAGTTGGAGACTTGTACATCTTGTGTTGGGGTGGAGAACATGAAAGGAGAACCTCAGTCTCTTTACCACATAGAGCTAAACTGAACCAGTTGAGAATGTCCCAGTGACAGTGGTTCTCAAAGTGTAGTGCCTACACCAGCAGCATCAGCATTACCTAGAAACTTTTTGGAAAAGAAAGTCTTCAGGTTGCACCCAAACATATTGAGTCAAACTTTGGTGGTAGTAGCCATGAAAATGAGCTTTAACATGCCTTCCAGGCAATTCTGATGAGTCACTGCCCTATACTCTGATTCTCAATCAGAGGTGATTTTTGTCACAAGGGGACATTTGGCAATGTCTAGAAACATTTTGGTTGTCACATCTGGAGTATGGAGTGCTACTGGCACATAATGGTAGAGGTTGGGACAATGCATAGACAGCCCCACAACAAAGAAGTGTCTGGCCCAAAATTTCAGTAATGCCACAGTTGAGAAACTCTGTCCTATGCTACAAGGCACTGTAAGCTCCTTTAGAGGGGCTGCAACCACCTGGCTCTCGATATTGGATTTGGCTCTTTGAACCTAGTTGGGACAAGGATTAGTATGTCTTAACCACTCGCAGAGTGGGAGAGAGTCTGATTAACTCTTTAAGCAACAAGTCTTCAGGCCTTCAAGTTACTCAGATGAGCCCCAGGGCTATTACTCAAGTATCTATCTCTGACAAAGTAATAAATAGGACCATGTTTATCTTCAGAACCAAAAAAAAAAAAAAAGACCGTATTTTATAAGGGGCATAGTCAATACATGCATTGACATTTCAGAACTGGCTTTTATGGGGGCCCAATTCCTTTCTAAGAAGGCAAAGAGGCAAACATTTTCCATGCATAGAAATTTTTCTGTTCAAATGAGATAAGCGAGTCTCCACTGTTTTCTGCTGTCCAGTTCTACCACGAGAGAGCTCGTGGGTCAGGAGATAGAGATCATACATCAAGTTCTAACTATATTTCCTACACAAGAAACCTTGAATCTCTGTGCATAGGATTTCTCTCCATGAACATTTAACATTAGAGGAAAGGAGCAAATCACATCAGAGTAGGTAGGTAAGGCCATGATCAGTTCAGGTCAGCCCCATCTCATATTAACTCTATTTTCAAATGTCTTAAGTGCAGCTTGTTCTACCATAACCTCTTCTGGCACTTATCTAAGATAACACACTTCTGGAAATGGGTGTGCTGATAAAGTTTATTTACATTATGTTCTATCATTTCAATCATATTTAAGTTCTAGATATTTGTGTTTACATACAGAACCCAGTGTATTCCTGGGAGAAATTTTTTGACAAACAAAAGCAAAATAGGATACAATTAATATGGTAATTGGGTAACTTAATGAACATCTGGCTTCTGTGAGGACTCATCTGGGATTTTAGAGTGAACTGTATCCAGGGGCTGCCAGTGGCAATTCATGAGGGAGTCGTAGAGTTCTTCACTTTTCATCATAAACTCTTTGTTTAATTCCTCAATATTCAAATGAAGATTGGGATCTGTAGAAGCCAATATTGCATATGGTAAAATAGAATTTGACAGGATATATATTAGAAATGGCTTACAGTTTTTTTTATAAAAAATTAGGAGGAAATATTGAAGACAATGTTAACATTTTTAAATTGTGGTTCCTTTCAATAAGACTTGAAAACAGAAATTGAACCTAAAAAAGAAATAGTACTACCAGACTTAATGAGCACCTAGATGGTGACTGAGGAGAAAATGGGTTGAATCAACAGACACTATTTGGAGATGGAGTCACTTTGGGGTAAAGGAGAAAGGTGGGGAATGGAAGATAACTCCTGAGTTTCTGTCATAAGCACTTGGGTGGATATGGAGCCAAACAGTGAGCCAGGACCAAGTTCATGACAGGACTTTGAAAAAATAACTATGCCATTTTATCTGCTTAGTTAACAGATTGACATATGAATGAATTATATATAGCAACTACCAGTAATATAGAAAAAGAAAGGAATTGGGCCTTCCTTCTCTGAATCCTAGAACCCTGTGATGAGAAGGTAGTGTTATGTTATCATGAAAGCATCAGATCAAGATATTCAAACTAACAGGTTTCCAACATCATTGACTTTTTTAATATATTCTATTTTTTCTCCTTGTATTGAATGTAACTGAAGAAGTCCTTTCTGTTTTCCTTTATAAGTTTTGTAAACCTTAGCTCATTTAGGGCCATAATTTGCTTCCTAATACTCACATGTATTCATGCTATTCATTTGTATTTATTTATATGCCTGTTATAAACAATTTGTGCCCCCTCTAAAAAAATTCATATGTTGAAATCCTAACTTCAGATTTGATGATATTTGGAGATGGGGTCTTTGGGAGATAATTAGGGTGAGATGAGATCATGAGGGCAGGGCCCTAGCTCCATGTGATTAGTGCCCTTTAAAAGCTCCCAGAGCTCCTGATCTCTCTCCCGCCACTACATGAAGATATGAAAAGGTGGCCATCTGTAAGCCGGGAAGAGAGCCCTCACCAGAAACCGAATCAGCTGGCACCTAATATTGGACTTTCCACTGCCCAGAACTACGAGAAATTTCTGTTGTTCAAGCTGCCCAATCTGTGGTATTTTGTTAGAGCAGCCCAAACTTCCTAATATGATATCCTTCTATTTTTATCATTTTAGAACCAAGATCATGGAATAGCCCCTACCCCTAAGTTTCATGAGCTACTTATTTGTCTTCACTAGAGTCATGTGTGACTCTTTCATCTGATTCATGTTCTTTAGAGCTTCTCATCCCTTTTGAAGTATCTTCCCTTGGAGAGCAAGGTGTCATAAAATTAGATATTTCTAGTTTCCCCCAAACTTTCTACAATTTTCTTTCCTAAAGTCATGTTCCAGAGTCCTTTCTGTCATTGTCACGGGCAGTCATTTGCTTAAAAGCTTCTGACTCTGCATGTTTCTGGTTGGGGGATAGATGTCAGGACCACATGCTTATGAGCATCTCTCTCCTATAACCTGTGGCCTAGAAAACAAATTGTCAGCTAGGAACCCCAGATTAATGATCTAGGCCCTTCCAGTGATATTGGCCATTGGGGTAATAGTAGCCTATAAAAGACAGATGAATTACATCTTTCCTAAACCTGTGGGCTCTCTTGATCTATGCTGTCCAATACAGTAGCCACGAGTCACATGTGGCTTTTGAGTACTTGAAGTGTGGCTAGGCCTCGTTGAGATGTGATATAAATACACACTGCATTTTGAAAAATTGGCATTAAAAGTTGTAATCTCATTAAATTTTATATTGATTACATGTTGATATAATATTCTGTATATACTAGATTAAGTTTAAAATATTTAAATTAATTTTTCATGTCTTTTTTTTTTTAATTTGGCTACTAACAAATTTAAAACCACTTATGTGGGTGGATTTGTGTTTTACATTACATTTCTACTAAACAGAGCTGCCCAGATCAATGAATAGCTAACACTTGAGAGGTTATTCTGTGCCAGGCTCTGTTAGAACTCTCAAAAGCACTTTATAGGTATTGTACTCACACTTTGTCTAAGGTAGGTTTTAAACCCCATTTGACAGGTGGGGATGCCAGTGCACTGGAGGTTAATTTGTCTGGCACTACAGAGCTTATAAAAGAGATCTGCACCCTGGCAGTCTGGATCCAGCACAATCTTACAGTATGCCTTCCTCTGTCATTTTTATAGGCCATCTAAAGAACTGGTAAAAGCCAGGACAGACTCACTCATTAACCAGAATGAAATCCCCCTGAGAGCTGGAATGAGCACACAGTATTCACGTTGCAATCAAAATACTAAAAAGTAGAACTGCCCCATAGCATTTGAAGATTTCTTTTAAACATCAGTTTCATTCTATTTAAACATTGGACACCAACTAACATGGAGACCTTGTATTGGTTACTGGGACTACAAAATGGATGCTCCCATGTTTTCTAAAATCACAAAGGCAGTGGGTTGGTTTGTCTTGTGGGAATGGGGAGAGGGTAGAGGAAGAGACCAGACGGGCATGTGATAAGACAGTTGATAAGAAACAGACAAAAGTGTTCTCTGCATTTCACTTTTAGTTCTGTTTCCCATAACCTAAAATAAATAAAAGAAGACAAATGTTTTCTTCTCCTCCTTGAATAAGACATGTTCAGAAACAGGGGTCTTCTCTGAGCAGGTACATTTTGGTCTTTTCAAAACAGATCAAGAGCTACATGAAGAAACACCTGGCACTACAGAGGAGAACTGTTGGGTCCTCCAGGAACGAATAACCCTGAGGGAAGCTAGGAAGTTAAGGCCACAGCAATTGCCTCATGCTTTTCTCCTTAAAAATCAAAATTAAAACATAATTAATCCTAAAGTCTAAACTTATGGAGGAAAGAGATCTTTAAAAAAATCAACTTATTATTTTTTGGAAATGCTTCCTTCTCCCAGTCCTTCAGAAAGACCTGTTCTCACAGAAGTAATTTGCAAAAACTAGATGAATTACTAAAGAGAAAGGCTTAGGCAACTATGTTGGCATTTTCCAGTAGGATCTCTCAGTTTCTAGGCAGTTATGTGAATGAGGAACCTAGAAATTGGGTTAGGTTTGTTTTTAACTACTTGTGCTTTAGCAACACAAGTTTTATGTTACCTTCTAGTAGGTCTTCATCTTGGTTTTCCACCAGAGCTGTGGCTTCCTACAATGAAAATCAGTATTTTAAGGAAAAAATAATTGTATTTAAACATTTACTGTCACACATAATTTCTTCGAAAAACCTAGCTCTCCAAATATCTAGAACACTAAACACCCTTTAGATCAAATTTATTTATTTATTTATTTTAAGAATTTTAAGGTAAGAGACATCTTTTTTTAAGATTTTATTTTTATTTATTTATTTTAAGAATTTTAAGGTAAAAGACATCTTTTTTTTTAAGATTTTATTTTTATTTATTTATTTATTTATTTTAGAGAGGGAAGGGAGGGAGAAAGAGAGAGAGAAATATCAATGTGCGGTTGCTGGGAGTCATAGCCTGCAACCCAGGCATGTACCCTGACTGGGAATCGAACCTGCGACACTTTGGTTCGCAGCCCACGCTCAACCCACTGAGCTATGCCAGCCAGAGCTTAGATCAAATTTATTTTTGAACTTGAATTAGAAGAATCTTCAAATGATATAATTTTACAATTATTAAACTAGTGAACTGGGTCAACAGAAGAAAACTCACAAAGGAGCAGCAAGCCTGACAAAGAACTCAGGGCTCTCTGAAGTTTCTGAGAGCTAACTGGCATCCTAGAGCCTGGGATAGTAACCAGACCCCAGGGACCCTGAATCCAGACTCCGTAGTCCATGTACTAGATGTCCAACTCTCTACCTGGAGCTCTGTCCTTCCTTCCAGATGACAATCTGCAAAGGCTCCACCGAGCACATTCCCCTCATGGCCTTCTAATCACATCCCAACTCTATGGTGCAGTTAAGGACCAGAATAGGAAGTGCTTAAGGAAATGCAGAGGTTACAGAAAAGCAAACCGAAAATTAACTTTCCTCTAACATAATGAGAACTAAATTCCAGAAGCACTGCCAAAATAAATCTTGGTTGGTTAATCCAAACTCTGTTGGCTCTAGTGGGCTGTAAATTTTTAAGACTTCTCTTTATAGGCACCTGTTGGAAACCTGTCTTTGTTTAGGTTGTACAGCTGTTTCAAGGAACCACCCAATCCAGAAAGGGCTGAGTTAGTTCTTGACACCAATGACCTTAATTATGCTTCCCTTGCTGATAAGAACGAGATTATATTGAAAGCCCAAGATCCACTATCTCCTCTCTTCAATCCATCTAAAAGAATGTCCCCCTTTCACTCTGAAATAGGTACTGGTTTGGAAAATAAATTATCTGGCTACCATAAACTTAATCACACCACTGATGTATTTTTTTCTATTTAGAAATGGCTAAGAAGCCAGAGCCTGTGCTTAAATGAGACCTTTCTTTTAATACAATGTGTAAGTAACCTCACATTTTTTTCCTTTGCAATGTGTGATCTGGTAAATGTGGATCCTAAATTACAAGGGTGTGTGGAGCGGAATCTGTCTGGAGACAGAGCATTCTCTCTCGTCTGAGGTTCACCTGGGCAGTGTATGCGGTTGTTTGTCCTTAAAGAATGGGACAGCTATAAATGGTTTTCCTGTTAGAAGTAGTTTGGGTAGGTGGTGCTGGTGAACCCCCAAAGACCTGAGAATCATTCTGGAGATATCCACTTCCTATAAACTTAACCAAGACATAATGTCAAAGTGGAGAGTCTAACCCCTTAACTTGGGGAGACAAGGACTAGGGACATGGGTGTGCTACTGTGGGGGAAGTGGGCAATGAAACTATCACATCTCATAGAGGGCACACTTTATTAGGGAAAACTCAAGTGAGGATGTGTGAGTCAAAAGACCCAATAAAGAGCTTTATCATCTTGAATTTTGTGACCAGCTTCATAACCAGGAACTCCTACCAAGAGAGCAAGCAGGTGGCACAAGTATGGTAACCAAAGAGAATAGATTTATAATTCTTGAATGAAAAACTGCTTATTATAGTAATAATGACTAGAGGGTGAAATAATAAAAAACAAAATGTGTCAATGAAAACGGGGAGATGAGAGGAGGGAAAGGGTAGCAGAGAGAGAAAAAGTGTTAATTTCTTAATTTTTCATGAGTGGAGAAAGAAATACTTTCATTTCTGGAGTGGTTAATACATTCAAACCTATACTTCTCTATTTAAAGATATAAAGGTAATCACTAGACATCAGATAGACCACTTCCCCTTTCTCAAAAAAGGGTTAAAACCAAAAGAAATGTGCTGAGACCTCAGGCAATGTAGCAAAAGATTTTTTTTAGAAGATGCAATAAGCACCTGCTAAAAGGGTAAAACCCAAATTGGATTTAAAAGAGAAAAAGCTGAGAAGTCTAACAATATATTTTCACTATGAAGCACACCTGAAACGAACTTGAAAAATGAAAAAGTTGGGGGAAAAAATCAAGCAAATGAACGTTTTAAAACAGTGATTAAATGTTAAATTCAAATCTGGTGTAAAAGCCAAGGCCATCGCAAAGAATGTCACTGTGCACATTAGGAAACAAACTGTGTAGAAAACTCTGTTAACACTTTGACTGCAAAGTGCTAATTTCCCTAATATGTAAATATCTCACAGAGTCAAGAAAAAGGGTCACACAACACAACATAAAGTAGGCAAAAACATCAACCAAGTCAAAAGGTATTGTGTGCAAAATATATTTGCCCTCAATAATAGGCAAATGCCTTCCACACTTGTCCAATTGGCTAATCACAGAACAACAAACAAAACAAAATGGAGAAGCAACCACACCAAGAGCAGTGGAAAGTGTAAACTGAGGCAGGCTTTTTGGTAAGCTGCTTTTTAAAATTTCAAATGTTATATCCTTTAATCCAGATCTCCCACTTTCAGAAATTTTTCTTAGCTAAAACAAACAAACACACAAACAAAAACCACTCAAATGACTAGAGATAAGCGAAGACGTTAAGTGCCTGAAGTTAAGGCACTGAGAACATTTAAAATGTCAGTCAATAGGGATGAGCTAAAATCACAGCATATCCAAATGGGCAGCTTTCAAAGAAAGCTCTCCTGATGCAACCTATGCATGTAGCTCTCCTGATGCTACATGCAGAAGCAAGAAGCAAAAGAGTATATGTACTACAGTCCATTCCTGTCCAAGGCACTCCCAGCTCCCCCAAACAAATAAAGCCCAATCACACTGATGCAACAAGACTACAAGGGGAGAAAATCTAGAGGACAAGATCAACTTAAACAGTGTTTTCTTCTAAGTGGGGAGGAGATGGGGAAGTGGAATAGTGAGCTGGGGAGGCTTTCCCTCACTCTAATACATCTTTGTGTGGTTTCAGAAAAAGGTTGCTTTAGTAATCAAAATAGTCAAGTATCTTTTAAAAAGTGAGTTAATATTCATTAATATTCATTGCTATTGTATCAAAACAATACAAAAAAACCCAACCTCCTGTCTTATTTTAAGTGTTTAAGAGTAAAATCTACTGAAAGATGATAATCTAAAATTTAGTAACAAGAATTTAGGCACAAGACCTCATCAACCTATTTTGTTTTTGGAAGATAGTGAGGACTTAGGGTCGTTTGTAAATCAAAATTTCTTAGATCATCAGTTGTTACTCCCTGGTATTAAAACAGGGAGCAAAAGCCATGGCTGTGGGAATCTGAATGGCAGTATGTGGAGGTTGTGAAGATAGGAAAAAGATGTTTCCATGTTGAGCACACAAACAATACAGGATTCATTTCAGAGGGTGATACCTCAGGCATAACTGAAGTTTCAGTTGGGTGTCCAGAAGTCCCACATGCAGAAAGGTTGTATTCATTTCCATTCACTGCAAAACCACAGCTGTAGCCGGGAAGAGGATAACAGTTGTGCTGTTGTTCCTCATACCAGTTGTCAAAAGGGTAACCCCGGTGGGGCTGGAACTCCTGCTTCACTCTAGGCAGAGGGGAGGGAGACAACAAGAATGACATCACCAACCCAGGCAGCAGAATCATTCGAAACCACAGGGCCCTTTCTCCTTCCCTAGAAGTTAAAAGCAAGTATGATGTCTGCTTTAACTGTTTAAGACACCAATTTTTAAAGCAACGGTTTGTAAATTGCTAAAAATTATATAAGAAATAGAACACAAATGGCCTTCATTTTCATTTGGGATAGGAAAAGCACCTCACCTTTGCCAGTACCAGTAATAATGATTTTGTTGAGCTACATCAAAACCTGCAAAGCTCTCCTGTCCCGCCATTTAACCAGAAACTCGATAAAATGAGATGAGGAATCCACAGTTTTTGCTCCTGAGTCAGAATTTCCAGCTCCAGGGCTAACACCTCTCAACCTGACAAATAACTCTCACAACTGCCTCAGAGAGCAGCAATTCCTGCTCGGCAATTAACTGTTTGACTTTCAGGTTAATGTGGTTAAGGCCTGGGTCAGGGCAGGAGTACAAAGAGTCACCTGGAGGAACTTCAGCAAACCACCTGGCTTTGAGTTGTCAGGCTTGGTGAAGCGGGCCAGAACCCAGGGGGATGGAAGGGAAGTTTGTGTTGGGCAACTGAGAAGGACAGGGAAGTCTCCACCTCACCTATATAACATTCACTTTTAATGTAAGACAAATACCACAGTTTGATGCTTCCCTTCTCAGTTCAGCTATCTGTAAACAGAACTGGCACATAGTGGACTTTTTTTTTTTTTAGTATCTCTTACATGTTGAAATCATCCCAGCCTGCTGGTGGGAAAAACTGGTACATCTCACTCACACACACACACAACTTAATTCGAGTACAGGAAAAAGAAAAAAAAATCTGTGGTTCAGTAATTTTTTAAGGGCACAATAAGCTTCCCAAACTTCAATGCACATTCACATTGCCTGCGCATGTTGTTTAAAATGTAGGTTCTGATTCAATAGATCTGGAGGGGAGCCTCCGATTCTGCCTTTCTAGCCAGTTCCCATGCACTTTAAGTTAATGAATTATTCCACTATTCAAGTGCTTGATGTATTCTGTATGTACCTGTAATAAGAAAAATAATAATCATGAGTTTAAATCATTTACCCATTATTTACTGAGCCCCTACTAGACACAAAGCAGGGTGATTGGCACTGGTGATATAGTGGAGCTTATATTGTAGTGGGTTTCTCCATGTCTTCAAGGGAGATGTCATTGATTAGCAGCTGTGACACATATTGCTGGGTACCACCCGATTTTGTTTCCTTTTCTTCCTTAATAACAGAAACCTGAATTAATTCAGGGGCATTAACAGGCCTCTTTAAAAGACTACATTTCCTGGCTTCCCGCCCCCAGGGAGATGTGGCCAGGTGGCCAAAATCTGGCTAATAAGATGTAAAAAAGAACTACTATAAAGAGATTGAGTAAAACTGTGTAAGGAGTTTGCTTAGCTGGAAGGCCTTTTTGTCCTCCACCCTTTCCCCAAGCCTAGTGCTGAGATTACAGATATGATGGCTGGAGGCAAAATAACTCTGCACCTATCTTGGCCTATGAGATTGTCAGGAGCCGACCAACAGCTGACCTTTGACACAGTCAGGTCAGATGAGACGCATCTGCACAGCAGAGGCAACTGTGGCTGGATCTCCTGTCTATCTCTTCCTGTATGCCTGTCCCTGCTAGCAATAGGTGGGGGGATTTTGGGATACCTGTGTGTTATAACAAAAAATCTGTACGATGCCTCTGATTCTGCACAAAATGACTTGCTGACCACAGAATAGAGACCCCTAGCAACCCTAATGCTGCCTGCTTCCCCCACCTGGGAAGTTAAGGACAAAATTAAACTATGGGCAGACCATCTGCCAGAACACTGAAGGAAACTTGCTAGGAATGTTTCTTAAGGAGTCGCCACTCAAAAGCTTAAGATTTATTAGAGCCACTACCCCTCCCATACCCTGGACAGGAGTGTATAGAAGCAAGGAGTTCTAGTTGGAAATAATAATCTCAATACATGAAAACGAACACAAAACATGGTCCCCTCAAGATGTATAAATCTAGGCAAAAAAAAACCAGTTACCTAACCGAGACAAATCTAACCTCAACAGACAATAGCTAATTTCTATATAACCTATGAATCACCCCTTGCACCCTTTTAATTTAGACCAATCCCTAGAACCTTAATAGATACCTAGTTACTAATTGGCACCTGAAAGTTTGTACCCATATAGCTTCGTTGGCTATCTGATTAATGACCCTCTTGGTCAAAACAATGTTTGTTTAATATGGTTGACCTGTGGGACCTCCTGTACTTTTCAGTTATTTATTTGTTTAACATGATTGATCTGTAAAACCTTCTGTGTTTTTAGAAATTATTTCTGTGGTAACTGTTTCTGTTTTAACAATCACACTATGCATTGAATGTTGTATAACCTCCCCAATAAAAATATTGATTTTTCTCGGTGAGTCAGTCGAGCCCAAAAAGCCTGGCTGTCCTCTGGCACCCCACCGGGTGTCTCACTTCATTTGCTTCATGCATCCTTCGTGCATTTGCCTGTGCCGTGCATCCTTCGGGGATCCTGAGACCCCGCCGAGGCTGGACCCCGGCATGAGATAGTATCAAGGAATATGTCACGCATGCAAATACAGGATTGTATGGAGAAAACAGGCCTGTGTCCCAATGACTACGGACTAACTCCCTGTACCAGCCCCAGACTGGCCTACCTCCAGATTTCTTTTAAGAAATAAATGTCTTGTTTAAGCCCCTATTGTTTTAAGTTATATGAAATTAAACGGAATTATTAAGTACTATAACAACTTAGACATCAAATAAAACATAGCTTGAGGATTTCCTTTTTTGTAAAACTTTAATAGTGTAGTTTTTCCCCTTCTCTTATTTTTGGACTTTTTTTTGTAAAAACAAAATCAGAATTTGGGCTATGAATGGGTGAGAGATGAAGTAGTTGGAAAGGATTGTGGGAGTTGATCATTGATAATAAGGTTACGTAAGGAGGCTGAGGAAGGGAAAGGCCAATGTAGCATGTTAAAACCACGTAGGGGACAGGGCGGGCGGAACAGCTAGAAAGATGGCAGGAGCTGAGGCACAGAGGACCATGAACAAGGCTCCAGAGATGAAGATAAACATTCAAGGGTTTTGTAGATAGGAGTGACAAGAAAGCGTTCACAAATATAGTTTTGCTTTCTAAAAGCTTCAAATTCAAACCTCATATTTCACCTGGATTAGTCCCATGAATGGGGTGAAGCAAATTTATATCATGGTAGGCCCCTGGTCAGTGTCCAGGGGAAGTAGCCCACTCTCTCTGCTTCCCTCAGCTCTATGTGTAAAGGAGGCCAAAGTCCTCAGGGAATATAAGCAACATGCAACCTCTGCAGTCCTAAAATTTAACAGACTTGATACCTGTTACATTGAGAAAGAATAGCTGGGCAGGAATATTAGACTCACATGCTACTTCTAATAAGGCTGATTTTTTCTCCACTGTATCCTGCTTTTAGCCCAGTATATCCACTTCACCACCTCCCCTACTCACTGCCTCCCCCCACCCCGCAAAAAAGATAAGCCGGCTGTTTTTTCTTTAGCAAACAAAAGCCAGGCACTCAATAAATATGTTGAATGAATAAATAAATGCATGACTTAAACATAAAAAGCTTTCAATCAGTAATTTAAAAGCAAAACCAAAAATACAACCCTGTTGTATTTTAGTGTTAATGAACTGTGAACAGTGGTTGTTTCTTGGCAACTGCAGTTTTCACAAGAGTGAGATTAAATAGCTTCTTATATTCTGTGTTTGGAAAAGGAAGCAGGAAGTATGTTCAGTTTGAATCCAGTTGAGCAGGTATATAATTTTGTATTGTTTTTCTTTAGACAATGAAAAACTGTTCTGTTAAAGAGAATGTATCCAAGGAAATAGAAAAAGCAGCAGCAGCACTAGGTCTACTGTTACTTGTGTGGTTTTCAAAGAATTCCTTTTCTGGACCTATTTCAGCATTTATAACAGGCTCTATTAGTGTAGTTTAACTTTAATGAGGCCCTAATCTTTTTGAAAATATAACAAAATTTTATCAATGCTCTTCTGCAAAAATGTACATACATGCCCTGGCTGGTGTGGCTCAGTGGATTGAGTGCTGGCCTGTGAACCAAAGGGTTGCAGGTTTGATTCCCAGTTAGGGCCCATGCCTGAATTGTGGGCCAGGTCCCCATTGGGAGGCACATGAGAGGCAAACACACATTTATGTTACTCTTCCTCTTCCTCCCTTCCCCTCTCTAAAAATAAACAAAATCTTTTAAAGAAATGTGCATACACAATTGTGTATATAATTTCAGGGGATTCATTAACTCCCTAGGAGTAGAAACACCTAAACTACATGCTAAGGTCATCCAGTGAATTTGTTGAATTTAATCTTTATTGGTTCCAGTAATTTCTGACAGGAAAAACAAACAAAAAAAAAGTAAACCACTTTGAGTTATATTTATGTTGCTTACACTATGGTTTTCATTCCAGAACCAGCTATACTCTAAAAGATTGGAGCAAAAGAATTTTTCCAGCCACAAGGTTCTTCTCTAAAATGTCCAATAATTAAACAGGTAAAAGTGTGACTATCTGGTAATACATGTTGATTACAGTAATTATCCGTTATAGTAATATGTTAAAGTTTTAACTTTCAAAAATGTTAAATGAGTACTAACTCTTCACAAACAGCAGCTGAGATTTCCCTGGGGTAATGAGACAGGGTACCAGGGGCATTCCAGAAGCAACAGAATATACAAAACAAGGATTTTCAAACAATTTTATTCAAAGTTTGTTTTCTTTTTGGATGAGAGAAAATTACTTTCACATTAAACAGGTGGATCACAGAGTAAAATGCAAAAAGACCCTTTTTTTAAAAAAAGAGACTTCAAAGAAATGCCCTGCTTACTCATTCTTTGTCGCATGCCCAAGGGACACCCACTCAAGCATTTCACATTCCTGACCTTAGTGGTTCTTTGGAGATAACAGTTAAACAGTAAATAGGAAATAATTAAAATGGTAATTTGACTTTCTGTAACATTGTAAGGTAATTAGCACAAGGCAAAGGAGTTAGTATAAAACAGGCCTACGCTGATTTTCCAGAGACTGAGAATTAACTACATTTCGGTGCCAGCGGAGTGTTTACATGTGGAATCGCCAAAGTGTGGAGAAGACAAGGTGTTCCTTGTACTATGACACCAAAGCAACCAAAGTGAAATCATTTGTGTAACACCCAGCATCAAGTAAAACAAAACGTATTTGTTAAGCACAAATAACCTACCAACAAAACACCAGAGAACAAATTTCTTGGAAACAAAGAGGTGTGCTACAGAATTAGCACTAAGCGGGGTTTGAAGAATAGACCTTAAAGAATGCATCTACTACCTTGTGGTTGAAAAATGGACCTGGTGTGGCGTTTATGTGACGAATTACACATTGCAAGATTTACTCCGTGGTAAATTTGTGCGAAGATGTCATTTTAACACATTCGTGAATCTCCAGACCTCATGAAAAATTTTAAATGTCAATTAAAGCCATTTTGCTTTTATTAACATTTGACCTCGCACTTAAGCTGGGCAAGTAGTGAAAGAGATCTTCTGGAATGCTCATAAAATATGGTTGCGCCTTTCTTCCTCCGCTGGCCAACTGGATCCTAGCGTTAGAAAAGTGAACCAAGCTGGAAGGAAAGGCAGCCAGGGCGGGATTACCTGGCCTGAGCAGGCCGGAAAACAGGAAGCGAACGAACTTTCTGGACCACCTGCTCTGGTATCCGCGAACGCCAAATCCCACGTTCTCAATGCCCCGCCACCAGACAATGTGAGAAAAACAGGTTCATTCCACTGTTTGCTGCACAAAAAGGAAACCCAACTTTACCGGGTGTCAGACCCCGCAACAAACAGTCCCCAAAAATCCAACATCTGAACGCCGCCAGGGGCCCCGCCCCCGCCCCCCACGCCGGAAGCTGGCTCGCTCCCTCCTTAGAGGTCACTGAAATGAGGGGCTTCCGCGAGGAAGTCCCGCCCACCTCCTTAGGCGAGCCTAACTCCAGGCTTCCTAGACTATGCCTGCTCATCCCCATTTTTTTTCATAGCAATGAGAACCTCCTCATATGGTCTCCTTCCTTATTCTCCGCTTGAAAACTGTGCGTGATTTCAAGCCCTGAAACCGTTTCCGCTGATGCAGGCTCCTAAAAGGCAGTCCTGTGGCATGACGTCTATTTAAGCGCCAATGGAGGAAGGACCCTCTTCTGCTTGCATCCGTTTTAGTCTCCGCCCCTCACGCTGAGCGCGGCTTGCTAAAAGAGGCACGTGTACTACTGAATGGAGCTGGTCGCTGGTTGCTACGAACAGGTCCTTTTTGGGTTCGCTGTGCACCGGGAGCGCAAGGCAAGCGGCGGCCACGAGGTAAGAGCCGATTCTTGGGACCGCCGGAGGTGCGGACGGGGGAAGGTCAGGCCTAGTCCCTGCACGGCTAGGGTAAACATAAAACCAGAAGTGAATACACCCTGTGATTTCTTAGAGATTAATTGACAGATCAAATTCATGAAACTTAAGTATAAGTTAGCTCTTTAATGCATAGAGCAGGCAGCCCTGACTGGTGTGGCTCAATGGATTGAGTGCTGGTCTGTGAACCAGAGTATCCGTCGATTCCCACTCAGGGCACATTCCTAGGTTGTTGGCCAGGTCCCCAGGAGGGGGCGCGCCGGAGGCAACCACACATTGATGTTTCCATCTCTTTTTCCCTTCTCCTCTAAAAATAAATAAAATTAAACAAAAACATGGAGTAGGCAATTCATGAAACGAGATAATGCCTGTCATGACTACGGGCACGTTTATGACTACGGTGCACAAAGGAAGATGGCATTTCTGTGAAGGAGCAAATGAGTTGTAGGTTATGTATTTAAGTGTTGCTCCCATAAATTGACTGCCAGTTTAGATGTTTGCTCTTTCACTGAGTTTCTGTCCTGGAGTTTTACAAAATATTAGAGATGGTTCAAGATGACACCAGCTCATTATTGGATCCTTACTGTGGGGCCATTAAGGCAACGAAGGTGGAAAGAAGCCAAGGGTGTGGATCCTGTGCTAGGTATCTTCCAGGCATAAGGGGGCGAGGACTGGAAGACAAATGCATGGAGAGAAATTACAACAAAATATAAGTATTTTATGAGATGTATGAGTAAAAAAGTAAATTGCCTATAGTCAAACAGCATATTCTCAGGACTAAAAATAGGATGGTTCAGGACTATTTTTTTTTTTTAACCTTAGCAATCCTAGGTATCTCCTAGAAACCTGTTTCATGAGGTTCTTTCTTTTTTTTTTTTTTTAAGCAAAGCAATCTTTTTTCTTTTAAGATTTACTTTTAGAGAGAGGGGAAGGGAGGGAGAAAGGAAGAGCTGGAGACAGACATCAATGTGTGGTTGCCTCTCATACCCTCTACTGGGGGCCCTTTGGTTTGCAGGCTGGCACTGAATCCACTGAGCCACACCAGCCAGGGCACATTGAGTGTTTCTTAATGGAGAAATCAAGGCATCAGTCTTGAATTAACCAGAAAATTAGTGGCGTATGTTTTGATTATTTGCTTTTGTTTATTTTCTTCTCTGTTTATTAATCTGTCTTTGGTTGAAAGGTGATATGTTTTAAATATTTGAAGATGATGCTACTAATTGTGTTTCCTTAATAATAATGTTGTTTGTCACGTTCCAGATACATGTAGACTCACATCAGTCCTCTGAGGCAGATACAGTTATACTCATGTTAGAGATGAGGAACCTGACATTTGTTGCACGTGGGTCACCGGCCAGCAGTGACCACGGAACGCTGTGGATGGCTCGACGATAAACACGCGAGAAAAAACACCACATGCACAGAGACAGACTAGTTTCTGTGGGGAAGTAGGGACAGAATGGCCACCCCCCCTAGTGGGGGAGCGCGCTGATTTACTGTCCATACCTGCTTTTATTGGGCTCATTTTGCATAATAATTCAGGTAAAGTACAGTACTCATTAGGGGAAGTAAGGAACTATAGAAAACAAAGAACTCTGCCTGTCTATTGAGTTGGGGGTCAAAGAGCTGTAAGACTGAGGAACAAAATAACTTCCTCCTAAGACCCTTCTCATTCAACTGAGAGCATTCTAAACAAAGAAGGTTTCACAGTAATTTACATATTCTTTCTTAGGCCTGATCACCCCGGGAAATCCGCACTTCTCAGTACCGAGCTGTACCACCCTGTCATTGTTTTAGGCTTAGGTGGAGCAAGGGAACTAGGTAACCAAGAGATAAGGAGATTTTCTCCCAGACGCTGAGAACTCAGGCTATGTCAAAGCCGAGGAGCGAGGGTCCATCACCCCCTTTTGCTGCAGCCCCCCCAAGTCCTTCTTTTGGGGGGCCTCCCAAAAGTGATCGTGCCTGGCTTAGGTCGTTCCCCCCGTGGGGAATCTTACCCGTCTTTGGCTAACCGACCAAGCTTTTGGGGGTTCAGTTATGAATAAAGCAGGAAGCAGCATTCCTGCCAGGAAGATAAGCTTTTGTCTCCTTGCTGGCTCACGGTTCCAAGGGCGTTCCCTTAGCTTTAGCTAGGCGGGGGTTTCAGCCTCTGATACCAGTCAGGGCGGTTCCCAACAGACATTGAGATATGTCAAGTGACCTACTCATGGCCATAAGCTAAAATTTGGTAGACCTGGGACTCAAATCCCCGGTGTCTCTGACACTTGAAGCTCTTAACCATTAACCAGTACTGCTTCTACACCTGGACAGACAGTAGCCCACATAACCAACATTCCTTCTGTAATATTCACTTAGGGCCATAGTAGCCCCCCAAGGAATGTTGTGTCTTTACTGAAAAGAGGTTCCCTGGGTTTTTATTGACAGAAGCACTATCTCTTGCTGTAGTTACTTAAGAATTAATTTACAATAACACATTATAAGTATGTTCAAAGAAATCAGGTGGGTGTTTTCTTCTTTGGTTTGTTTGTTTTACTAATACTTTTTGATGCATGTCCTTCAAATTGAGAGGTGTGTGTGCATCCGTTCTTTGCACTCAACCAGTCACACTTCTCCAATATGAAAGTTACATATCAGTGAATGTAGAATTCTTGAAACTTCATCATTAGCCAATCTCTTGGACTTATGTTGGTATAATGGATACGTACTACTAATCCTGTTTATTTTCCTTTATAGGACTTGTCATTATAGTTATCTGTTCCTTGTTTGTTTTAATCTACATATCACAGGATAGTTTTTTCTTCGTTTGTAAGATCCACTGATAGTTTTCATGGCACGTGAAACCATTTATCTGTTTCTGGAGAACTATGACATGGTTGTGATATTCATTATGTGGTTTACTCTTCAGCAGAAATGGACTCCTGTGGCTGACTTCACTCACCATGCCCACACGGCCTGCTTGTCAGCGGTAGCTATAAATAGTCGTTTTGTAGTCACTGGGAGCAAAGATGAAACAATTCATATTTATGATATGAAAAAGAAGGTAGACCATGGAGCTCTGGTGCATCACAATGGTAAGAAATTATATCCTTTCGGATAATAATGTTGAGGTATCACTACTTTATAATTTGACTTCAGTTGCACAGTTCAGTAACCAGATTCTGTGCTAGGAAATACAAAAATGAGAAAAACATATTGTTCTTTGTTCTTAAGGTGTTCACAATTTGTATTGGAAGACAAGGGAAACACTTAACTCGGTCTGGAGGGAAAGGGGAGGAAATGAATATTCACTGAAAACTTTCTTAAAATGACATCTGAATTACCTTGAAAGAGAAATACTAGCCCTGGGTGGTATGGCTCAATGGATTGAGTGCTGGCCAGCAAACTGAAGAGTCATCTGTTCGATTTCCACTCAGGACATGTGCCTAGGTTGTGGGCCAGGTTCCTGGTAGGAGATACATGAGAGGCAACTGCACAGTGATGTTTTTCTGCCTCTCATTTTCCCTCCCTTCCCCTCTCTTCTAAAAGTAAGTAAAATCTTTAAAATCGGAAAAGAAATAGCATCTGTTAGCCAAGTGAAGTTTGCGAAGAGGGAGAGGGCATTCCAGGGAGAGCAGGTAGCATGAGGAGTACAAGCAGCAACATCATGTTGACAGCTGCCTTTACTGAAGGAGTATCATGTACCAGTAGTGCCAAAAAGGTACACTTGTATTTTCAGTTTATGGAAGAGAAACCGTAGTTCAACGATATTACATGACTTGCCCCAGGTTAAAAACAATGGAACTGGAACTGTAAGCAGGTCAGTGTTACGAGAAGGGTAAAATGAAGGTTGAGGTGGCTGGAGAAGTAGATGGGGCCAGATCCTGGTGGTCCTTGAGAGAAGGAGATTAGGGATTGAATGGGAAGGAGAGAGTGGTCAAGGTTTGAGGAGTGTGCTGGCAGTTAAGATATGAAAGAGATGCTGACTAACAACAAGCAAAAGGACTGATGAGAGCCGCCCAGTTGAATTTGGAGGCTGTGGATTTGGTAACATCGGTTTGCAGTAAGCTATAGACATTCTACAGAGCAAGGAAGGTTAATTTGGTTTGTGTGGAGGGATTGAATTAGAGGGGAATTAGAATTTTGGTGAAAGAATAGGTTTTTGGCCTACAGAAAAATGGGTTGTTAAGGTCTGTAGATCTCTGAAATAAGCAAGCAGGTGGAGTATGATTAATGGTAGTCATGAAAGCGCTGGCAAGATGTGAGGTTGGGTCAGAAACCTTAGAGTTCAAGAGTTCTGATGTGGAACAGCTCTGGATGGTAACAGTATCTGTGTCGTGGGTGTGAGGGACTAAAATACAGAGGAGGCAAAGGTCACTAGAGTTGAGGAAGCCAAGAAATAGTGATTCTCAAGTCAGTAGTGATTCTCCACACAGATGGTACATTGTCCAGTATAGTGGCAGGATCAAGAAATAGACTGAACAGTAGTTTTGTCTTTTTTCCTCAGTATTGAAAATTATATGTTACTTTCATTGCATTTTCCCAGGAGACAAAGATTGAGGGGTTTAACATGTATCTGAGAAGAGGGAAAATTGGAAAGGAAGAACTTAAGTTAGTAGGAGCAATTAGATATGTACTTAGTTTAGGGAATCTCAGCCATGGAAGTTGTTTGCCTGCAATTAAAGGTGGGTAAGACAGGTACTTGTTTTTCCTATCCTGTCTTCATATATTTCAAAAGTTCCACCTCAAGCATTGGTGTCTAGCAGTAAATTAGAAGTGATCAATTCTGTCATATTAGATGGTCCTTTACTGTTTTGAAAAGTATCTTGTTTTTGTTTGTTTGTTTGTTTGTTTGTTTGTTTTGACAGAAGCTAGGCTTTGAGTCATTGCAACAAACATTTCTTTTCCTGTGTCTTCCAATCCCAGTTTGTATGAGAAAGCGCCTCTCTTTCTAAGGCTTGGAAGAAATAATTGAAACAAAACTAGTCTGTCCAAACCCATTGATACAGGTGTTCAACAGTAAGAAAAGGACTTACAGTAAGAGTTTGGATGGGGGAATGAATGAAGTAGGGCCCTTGATTTACTTCATTCCTCATATAAATTCTGGTTTTCCATCAGTTGTCTAGATAAGCTCTTTCCTAGGGAGCAGATGGAGCCATGGGCAGGAATGGAAGATATGGGAAAGGAAAATATCCAGGGTAAGAAATAGGATAGTAGGGAAACAGGAAAACATGAGCAAAGATAGCTAAAGCCTCCCACTTTGAAGGAAAGCTGGTATGTTAGCCCATATAGTCTTAGTACAGGAATCAGGGGCTGGTACAGACTCATCAAAGCTCTTTAGCTCTTTCAATATAAAGGGCAAATGTCTTTACAGGGTTGACGAGGAGGTGTGCAGATGAACATTAGTAAACCCAGGGGTCCACAGTCTTATTCCATAAATGACAAAATTGTCATTTTGTAAATGTATTGTAAATACATATTTAGGTTTTGTGGCCATATGGTCTCTGCTAGGATTTATTCACATCTGCCATTGTATTGTCAAAGCAGCCACGGGTGTCTTGTAACTGAATGAGTAAGGCTGTGTTCAGATAAAAGTGCACTTACAAAAACAGTGCACCAGCCAGATTCGGCCTGCAAGCAGTGTTTTGCTGCAGGGCAGTGAAGCTGGCTGACACCTTCAAAGGCCAGGGAATTTTCCTTGAGGGTAAATGTATAATGGCATGGACTGCTTTTAGGAGCTAGAGGAATGCTGGGTTCTTCCCAACTCACCTCCCTTCAGCCTTTTAATACTTGAACTATGAGAAGGAGAGAGGGCATAGTGGAAAAGTTGAACATGTTAAGTTCTTAGGATGGTAGATGAGAATTGTGTAGAAGTTGAATTAAAAATAGCTCTGGGCTCTGGCCTAAAGGCTCAGTTGGTTGGAACATTGTCCCATGCACCAAAAGGTTGCAGATTTGATTCCAAGTCAGGTCATGTGCAGGAGGCAACCAATCAGTATTTCTCTCACATTGATGTCTCTCTCTCACCCTTCTTGGCTCTAAAATCAATAAACATACTGTTGGTGAGGATTAAAAAAAAAACCCATCTCTGGAATGTGGGTGATTGGGTAGCTAACTGTTTAGAATGTATGGCTGTACATTTCAGTTTGTTATCCCAGGTGAGCTGTTAGCTGGTTAGTTTTGTTTGACTTTTCAGTCTTACCAGCTCTCTCCTATTTATGTGATTATGGGAATGTAGAGCAAGAAAATAAACTGGTCAGGTCAAATATATATCTAAAACTAGAGAAACTGCTGAAAATCCATGAATAGGCTTAAAACTATATTAAAAGGTTATTTTTTCCACCTAAGTTTTAAGGTTCAATTCAGTAATACTTACATTTGATGTTTTAGTTATCACAGCATCTCATTCAAACCAGAAATGGTATTTGCGTTCAGAATAATAATTTTGAATATTAATTTTGCCTGTTTTGTTTTTCCACAGGCACAATAACTTGCCTGAAATTCCATGGCAACAGGCACTTAATTAGTGGGGCGGAAGATGGGCTCATTTGTGTCTGGGATGCAAAGAAATGGGAGTGCCTGAAGTCGATTAAGGCGCACAAGTGAGTCTTGCCCTTTCTCGTTGGCAGTCTCCAGGTGCTAGTCAATTTGGGGGCTAATTGTTGATTTCCTTTTAGGGGGCATGTGACCTTTCTTTCTATTCACCCATCTGGCAAGTTGGCTCTGTCTGTGGGTACAGATAAGACATTAAGGTAAGTCATAATGCTCAATAGCATCTTTACTTCAGTTGTGATTTTTCTTCTTCGAGTACAGCAGGAACCCACTATAATACTATGATACAAGGAAAGGTCAAAAGCTAGGGAACCTTTTTGTAATGGTAGGAAAAAAATGACAAGCTTTGTATGGAAACATACACAATAGTTTTCAGTCATTGTGAACTGTAAAGTGTTTTATGATGTGAAACCTTTTGAAAATACATTAAATGTATTAAAGGGAAGTGGGAATACCCCTTTAACAAGTTAATCTTGAGAATCAATATTTTAGCTGCTGCTCTAGGAGAGACAGCAGTTCTTCTGAATAGCCACATATTTAGTAAATTGACATTTGAGTGAGTATGCTAACCTTAAAGCCTCGTAAAAGTTCGTGACTGTGCCATAAGTGAGCTTCTTGTTTTATAGAACATGGAATCTTGTGGAAGGAAGATCAGCATTCATAAAAAATATAAAACAAAGTGAGTATTTTTGTTTGGAATGTGTTTTACGACAATTTGGTAGAATATGAATATACACACACATGCCTGCATGCACACATTTATTTGCCTGCATGATGGTGGTACATCTGAAGGCAAATGCTTTGGGTTACTTTCTTCTTTCGTGTTAGATTGGAATTCTTATGGCTGTACCACTGACTAGCCCTATAATCTTAAGTGATTCTTTGAACCCAGTTTATTGTCTGAAATTGAACTTGCAAAATATGTATTATGTTTGTTGTTGAGTATTCAGTTAGGATAATAGATGTGAAAGTGTGAAGTATAAATATTTGCTATTTTTAGTATTCTGATTATTTTTTATTTATGAAGTGAAAGATTTTGTTTAACTTACAGATGCTCACATAGTGGAATGGTCCCCAAAAGGAGAGAAATATATAGTTGTCATACTAAATAAAATAGATGTCTATCGTCTTGACACAGCATCTGTTACTGGCACTATCACAAATGAAAAGAGAGTGTCTTCTGTTACATTTCTTTCTGTAAGTGATCAGAAATGAGTGATGTAAATTTAGTGTGTATATGATGGTAGGAATTGTTTGACATTCTGGATTACTCATTCTTTTTCTGTCTCTCAGGAGTCTGTCCTTGCAGTGGGTGGAGATGAAGAAGTTGTAAGGTTTTTTGATACTGATTCATTAATGTGTCTCTGTGAATTTAAAGCTCATGAAAACAGGTATTTTTTGTATGTTTGTTTTACCAGTTCATTATGTATATGGGTACAGTCTCAAATGTCATGTGCAGTAGTTAGACACAGCAGGCTATATGTTTTTATGAACAGTTGGCAGAGATAGACACCCACATATATATGATGTCTGGAGTCTAAGTGAACGATGAAAAGACCTTGACCTTAGTAAGTGCAAAAGTGGCCAAGTTGTCGTCAAGACTAGTCATGTGCACAAAATACAGTTTCAATAATTTCATCAGTCTTGGGGCCTGAAGTGAACCGTATTTGAATGGGGGAAAAATAAAACAGTCTTCAGCTTTGCTTCTGACCACTCTTGCCTTTTACTTTATTCTCGTTGTCTGCTTCTCCCTCCTTTATTACCACATTTGCTTTTCCTCCAGAAGAAGTACAGGACATTATAGACTTCTGTTTTGTGCCAATCTCTGCTACCTCTTACTGCTCACTGTGTTTCTAGGGGTGCACCCTAAGTCTCACTACATAGTTAAGTGATTTTGCCAAGATGACCCCACTGTTAGCCAACAGAGCTGGGATTCAGATCCAGTTCTGTCTAAGTTTGCCCCTGCTTTTTCCACTATAATTTTGAAAAAGGTGAAAATGTAAAGAGTTATACTTGAATGTGTTTTATTTGCGTGCTGCATGTCTTAAGTAAATTTTAGTTATTTTCTAAACAAGTTAGGTTTTAAGAAATCTCTGTAAACACTCATAATACTGCAATCACTGTACAGACCTAGTTAACATTATTAGGGAAGGGGGAGTGGGACCTCAGAGATAAAAAAGCACCTGTTCTTAAAAAAGAAGAGAGAACTTTAGGCACACTATAGCTCTGAGGGGGAAAGTGCTGGGTGCACTTCAGGAACAGAAGACTTGTGTTAATAGATTAAAGTGAGTCAAATGGTGCACTGCCTTATAGGCTGTAGTGAAAAGTTTTGGTTTTATATTAAATGCCTTTGTAGATTCTATTGTGTTAATTTCTTACTATGGAAAAATTTAAAGGCAGATAAATCAGTTTAAGGAAGCAGCCCCTGTAGACCCACCATCCAGCTTCAGCAGTGGTCAATTTATGGCCAGTCTTGCTTCTTAAATATTCCTAGTCACTTCCTCCTTTCCTGTGTTATTCCGATGCAAAGCCTAGCTTTGTAGAATTTTAAGCCTGGGAGTAACATGTTTTGATTAACATTTAAAAAATTGTTTGGGGGCAAAAATGGAAGCAGAGAGACCAATTATACTGCTTCATAATTCAGAACAAAAATGATAGTAGCTTAGACTAGGGTCAGTGGCATTGGAATGAGAGGAATTAATGTATCAGAGGAAGCCTTGATTCACCTTTTTGTCTTTTCTTTCCATACTCAACTTGTATTTTCTTGAGGTGAGGGACTTTGTTTTAAGTACCTTTATTTCCTTTGTGATACCCTGATTATAATATCATCATCATCATTTTTTCAACTTTTTTAAAAGATATAAGTAATAGTTTTATCTTAGAATTTAGACCCTGAAAAATGACACACTGACTCATGGGAAGTGAAGCGCAGTTACTGAAAAACGAAGAGCCTGTGTGCATAGAAGCTTATTACAATATAGTGCTATTTGACAGGGAGATCATTTATGGTGTTAATGTTTCTATTATAGGGTAAAAGACATGTTCAGTTTTGGAATTCCAGAGCATCATGTTATTGTTACAGCATCAAGTGATGGTTTCATCAAAATGTGGAAGCTTAAACAGGACAAGGTCAGTGTCTTAGCACAGTATCAGTACACTGTAATGCAGTCTTACTGTCAGTATTGCCTTGAGTCAAGTGAGATGGAATTCTTTAAGGGTCATAGTCAGAGATCTTGAAACAAGCTCTTTAAAAGTCTTTCAGGTGTGATTGATATTCATGATTTTAAGGTTAGGATTCCACAGAGCTGACTTGGGTTGGCATTGGTGAATCTGAGCTGGCAGGATCCGAGAACTCCTGTTTTTTTTTTCAGAGAGGTTCTACTTTCTTCTTTTTTGTATATTGATGTTCTCTGTATGTTTTGTTAGGTAAAATACTGCCATTACTTAAAAAAAGAAAAATTGGAAATTCCTGATTAACTGTGGAACCAACACTGGTTTTGAACCAGATAATTGGAATATTAAATTCCCTTTGATAGTGTCCCTCTCCTAGACAGTCTTGTTTATCCTGTGAATATGGTGTGTTAAGTGCTTACTTTGTTAACACCTAGAAATGAATACGACACGGTCCCTTTCCCTAGTGAATTTACAGTTTCTGAGTAGTCAGAAATTGGCTCTGTGAAGGACATAGCCAAATCAATCAGAAATCAAGATAATAGATTTCTTCTAAACAGCATATCTTATTCTAAAGAAAATACAGTGTTTTAAGTTAAGGAGTTGATTATAGAAAAAAGAAAATTATTTAAAATTCCCCTATGTTGTTACAAATTTTTCTTGCTTGTTTTAGGAAGTTCCCCCATCTTTACTTTGTGAAGTGAACACTAACGCCAGGCTGACATGTCTTGGAGTGTGGCTAGATAGTGTGACAGACCCGAAAGAAAGCCTTCCTCCAGCTGCAGAGCCTTCTCTAGGTAAATGAAATTGGTTGTTTTAAAAAATTGAATAATCTGTTACCTCTTGAATTATTGAAGTGGAGACCCAGATAACTTCACTTTATATTGTCAGCTTGTGATTCTTTTTCAATGGGGAGAAAAAATCTTATATACACTGTCTTGTGTTTTAGTAAGTAAAGAAGAAGAGTCCAAAAGCAGCACAAAGGAATCTGGCGATGTTGTGCTAGAAGAAGAAAGGCAGTCGAAACCTAGCATGAAGAAATGGGGTTTAACTGGTGTCAGTAAGAAGCCAACAAAAGGAAGTGGCCTGGTGTCACCCAAGAAGAAGAAAATGGTAGACACATTGGAAAAGAAGAGAAAAAGGAAGAAAATACGAATAACTCAGTGAATTCAAATTTCTCTTAAGAAAAAAAACCTTTTAAATGGAATCATTCTTTTTAAATGTACCTATTTTTTTCTGCCAAGTAAAAGCTAGGAATTTCCTCTTTTGGGAAAAAATGTATAGTTAAAAAAAATCACTAAGTCACTTTTGGTTTTTGTTTTTTTGTTTTTAAACAGTAGCAAAACTTTTTAGTAGGCGATATATATCATGATATATATTATGTTAGTGTGTAATAGAATTTTTACTTTTGTGTAAAGCAAATAAAGGTCTTTCTCAAAATAATGTAATACAAAGTAATACAAAAATCAAAAAAATCTTGAACACAGTCTTTACCAGAGGTAAGTAAGAGAGTTTAAGGTCATGGAAAATGGCATTTCTTTTTTTGTCCATTTCAAGCCATTAAAAAATGCATGTAGCTAATCTAACAGGTAGTTTTAAAATCAGCCTGTTGGTTATACTGTCGTCATTTCTTGCCTTCTTTCCTCATAGATTACTGGATGTTTTGAAAAGATGATTTGATCTAGAGGATTTATAGGTTTTACTTAGGTGGGTCCATGTTTCATCCCTCCTGATTGGGCAAAATCAAATATCTGACAGTTGGACACTGGAAATGCCACTCTCTTCAGAGGAGGGACTCATTTAGGAAATGAACCAAATCGTGTGCTGATGTTCCATTGCACCTCTTTGTTAACTTATTTCAGGCCTGTAAACAAGGATGAAGGTAGGTTTGTGTTTTGTTTTGTTTTTGAGACTATTTTCTTAAGAGTAGTTCTGGGGTTATAAAATTGAGAAGAAGATACAGAGACTTTCCAGTGCCCCTGTAGCCCCTGCCATTATCAGCATCACTCATAAGAATAGCAAGAATAGCACGTTTTTTACTGAGGATGAACCTACATGGACACATCATCAAGTTTAACTTTGGGAATCACTTTTTTTAAAAAATCCTCACCAGAGGACACCCTCTTAATTGCTTTTAGAAAGAGGAAGGGCGAGAGGGAAATACTGATGCGAGAGAGAAGCATCGATTGGTTGCCTCCTGTCTGATCTGACCAGAGGTCATCCAGACCCAGGCTGAGGATCAAAACTGCAACTTAGGCATGTGCCCCAACTGGGAATTGACCTGCAACCTTTTGGTTATGGTACCACACTCCAGCCAACTGAGCTGCACCAACCAGGGCACGGGATCACTTTTGGTGTATATTCTATAGATTTGGACTAATATTTAATGACATTTGCTGAGTGTTTTCACTGCCCTAAAACAGCTGTTTTGCTCATTCATTTCTTTTCCACATCTGACAATCATTGATCTTTTTCTGTCTCCATAGTTTTGCCTTTTCCATAATGTGATATAGTTAGAATCATACAGTATTGTAGCCTTTTTTGATTGGTCTCTTCCATTTAGTGATACGCATTTGAGTTTCCTTCATATCTTTTTTATTGCTCGATAGCTCATTTCTTTTTTATTTAAAAAAAAATTCTTTTTGAAGATTGTATTTCTTTTTAGAGAGAGGGGAGGGTGGGAAAAAGAGAGGGAAAGAATCATTGATCTGTTGCCTCTAACATGCCCCCAAACAGGGACCTAGCCTGCAACCCAGGCATGTGCCCTGATTGGGAGTCAAACCAGCAGCCTTTTGTTTTGCAAGATGATGCTCAGTTCACAGAGCCATACCAGCCATGGCAGATCATTTCTTTTTGGTGTCTTATATACTTATATATTGTCTACTGTCTTAAATAAGCACCACAGTTTACTGTTCACCTGCTGGACAACATCTTGCTTCCAAGTTTTGGCAGTTAGAATAAAGTTGCTATATTCACATACTGGTTTTTAGGCGGACATGTTTTCAACTTACTTGGATAAATAGGAACATAACACGATCACTGGACTGTATGGTAAGAGTATGTTTAGTTTTTGTAACAAACTACCAAACTGTCTTCCAAAGTGGCTATATCATTTTCCCACCAGCAAAGCAAAAGTGGCTGCTGTTCCACATCCTCACTGGTGTTAGGTGTTGACAGTGTTCAGGATTTTGGCCAATCTAGTAGGTGTGTGGCATTGGTATCTCTTTGTTTTAATTTGCATTTCCCCAATAACATGATTTGGCACATCTTTTCATATGCTTACTTGCCATCTGTGTATCTTTGGTGAGATGTCTAGAGGTCTTTGGCCCATTTTTCAATCTGATTGTTTTCCCACTGAGTTTTAAAAGTTAATTGTATATTTAGGGTAATGATCCTTTATCAGATGTGTCTTGCAAATATCTTCTCCCCATCTGTGGCTTGTCTTCTCATAGTACTATCTTGTAGAGCAGAAGTTTTTAAGGAACTCTAGCTTATCAGTTATTTTTATCATAGATCATATCAAAAAACCCTACACCCAAGGTCATCTAGGTTTTTTCCTGTGTTACCCTTAGAGGAGTTTCATAGTTTTACATTTTACATTGAGATCTACAATTCATTCTGAGTTAATTTTTGTGAAAGGCTTTTGTGTATAGATTTTCTTCGCATGTTTTTGGCATCATTTGTCAGATTCTTTGCTTCATAGTGTTGCTTTTGTCAAAGGTCAGTGAGCTCTGTTTGTGGTGATCTGTTTATGGACTCTGTTCAGCTCCATTGATCTATTTGTCTATTCTTCTGCCATTGCTACACTACCGTGATTATTACAGCTTTATTGTAAGTTTTAATGTCAGGTAGCATCAGTTCTCCAACTTTGTTCTTCAATATTGTTTGCTATTTGGGGTCTTTTGCCCCTCCCTGTAAACTTGACAATCAGATTGTCGATATTACATAAAATAACTTGGGATTGCATTGAATCTGTAGATCAATTTGTTAAGAACTGAGATCTTTTAAAAAAATTTTAAAAGTATTTTAATACGAACTAACATCCTGACAATATTGAGTTCTCCTATCCAGGAATGTGGAATGTGAGTATCTCCATTTATTTAGTTCTTTGATTTCATTCATCAGAGTTTTGTAGATTTCCTCATATAGGTCTTAACAAATTTTGTTAGATACCTATTTTATTTTGGGGTTTGCTCATATAAATGGTATTGTGTTTATAATTTCAAATTCCACTTGTTAATTATTGGTATATAGGAAAGCAGTTGCTTTTGTGTTTTAACCTTGTATCCTGCAACCTTGCTGCAATTACTTAATGCTAGGGCACAGTTGGCAAATACAAGGCCCACAGGCCCAATCTGGCCCTCGACTTTGTTTTATCCGGCCCAGCAACAGTTAAAAGCTCACTTAACTGTTAGGGAGTAGTTACATTTATACAGTCCTAAAATTACATTCAGCCCTTTGAAAGCAACCAGGAGACTGATGTGGCCCCGGGTGAAGATGAGTTTTGACACCCCTGTGAACTAGGGTTTTTGTGTTGTTTTTTTTTTTCCAAATTCTTTCAATCATGTCATCTGTGAACAAAGACAATGTTGTCTTTCCCAATCTGTATGTATACCTTTTATTTCCTATTAGCAAGGACTCTAAAAGGAATAGTGGGTTTGGTTCTTCTTAAAAGTCAGCCTTTTATTTTGAGATAATTGTAAATTCATATGCAGTTATAAGAAGTCATATATAGAAATATGTACCCTTTATGCAGTTCCCTGCAATGGTAACATCTTGGAAATTAAAGTAAAATATATCTGGTATATAGAAGTGACACAAGCAAGATGCAGAACATTCCTGTCACCACAGGGATGCCTCATGTTGCCTTTCATAGCTGCTTCCCTCCTGTAGCTTTATAGCTACACCCACCTCCTTAACTCTTGGCAATTGCTTATCTGTTCTTCATGTCTAATTTTGATGAAATTATAATAAATGGATTATACATTTGTAGGGCATGATTTTTTCCACTCAGCATTACTGGGAAATTGATTCAGGTTGTTGCATAGTCTACATTATGATGTGGTTATACTGCAGTTACATTACATGTTAACTATCTGTTGAAGGACATCTAGTTGTTGCCAGTTTTTTAGAAATTATGACCAAGGCCCCTATAAATATTCCTGTGTAGGTTTGGGAGAGCTTATCACTGCTGGGAGCTCTGCATCTCAGTGGGGTCACCACTGACATTGTGGTAGAGAGGGGACTTGTTATCAGCCAGTGGGGATGAAAGAGCAAGCTCTGTACTTGGTCTTTTTTTGACATCACCCAGCTGGAGGGTTGGATACCTTACTGCCTCCTGAGGGTGAAAGGTGAGGCTCCAATTAGCCCTTTGCTGGGTTGGGGTGGGGCCACAGTTTTGGTTTTTTTCCTATGGTGTTTGGCTGGAGTAGAGTGGTTGTTACTTGAAAATTTTACGTCCTGCAAGGCTGCCCCTTTTGTGCTGCTTTGGCTAGAAAGAGCTGGATTTTGTTGAGGCTGTCCATTTCCCCTTGCATTGTTGGCGTTTCTGGGCTGCCAGTTTCTTCAGCTCTGAAACAGTTTAGGGAATTTACTACCATGGTGTTCCTGTGCTTCTGAGGTCCTTAGTTGCTTTGCCTTCTCTCCATCTTTCTGAATTTTATATTATGTGATCTATATATGATATCCATGGTTTCTGAGTGTCCTCAGGAAAAATAGGGGAAATTATGTCTACCCTATCTTCCCAGAAATGGACATTCCCTGAATAGAGTTGTTAGATTGAAAATTGATACAAATATTATCCCTTATGCCATTCACTCTAGAATAATGACGTGAGATCAGCTTACTATAAAGAACTTGATGAAGCTTCCATATATTTGATTCCAGTGTCTAGAAAATGCATATTACAACAATTTAATATAATGCATATGATAACATTCCCATCAGCTGTTAATTATTGGTGGAAGCATTTAACTGAAATGATGAAACTGTCATTTTAGCCTCTTCAACTCATTTTCATTAATCTTAGGGTAAGACCTTAAATACTTAGATTTTATATTGTATGTTTGTGTTCTTAAAAAGTGTAGAGTCTTGAAGTCTTTTCAAAATATCTTACTGTTCCTTTTGCATGACATCATTGGACATGATTGCTTATGAATAATTGTAGTTTATTTAGCTTATCTCATCTGAAGTGAAGATGATTGATAGGAGGATATAACTAGAACAGGGACTGTTAGCTCCTAGAGTGTTTTCAGTAAGCCTAGGAAAGGGAGTTGGGAGACCTGTGTTTCAGACCTGATGCCGTCACCAGACTGTCTATACAACCATGAGCCCTCTACCTTTTCTGACCTTGGAGTTTGCTATTATCCCGGCATATCAGCCTGTTCCCATTTGTACTTCCCGTCACCACCCATAAATTTGTCATTTGATTTGACAAATTTGAAACTGGTAGATGTCAGTGGCAGTGCAGCATCATCTCTCTTTAGGTTGACATTCATCTGTCAACCCATGTTATTAAAATACCTACTCCCATAGAGTGTAGGTACTGTCATATTTAAGCTAAATGGCTGGAGTTAGCTTGCTTCTTGATTTACAAAGTTAAACT